TTGCTGGCTTTGTACACTATATAAATAAAAAGACGACATCCAGGCTTAACATTATCTGATGTTAAAATCAGACATGAACATATGTACCCTGACGAGCTACGTGAGGTGTTTTCACAATTCTGCCTCGTCTGATTCTCATCCAAAGCTGTTACTATAGCATCTTAGAAGCCAGAACCAGTTCAGGGATAACATTCTGTCTGACTAATCTTTTTGGCAGAGCTGTGTTTTTTTAAATCAAGTGCAAATACAAAATTTGGGCATGAATAGGTTAAAGGAATGCTAACCCTGACCTGCTAGGAGTCCAGGTCTACCATTGCTGTCCTCTCCTGAAAATGCTGCTTGCCTGGCTGTTGTACTGTAGATATTACACACTCATGTTGTGGCAAATTATTAATAGTTTTCTCTCCCTCTGTCTCTCTCACGTCATCCATCATTTTTCCATCTCCTTCTTTCTTTATCTCATCATTTCTCTCTTTTCCTTTATGAAACTCTCACATCCTCCATGTCTCTCTCTTTCTCTCTTTCTCTCTCGTTCTCATTCTTCCTCCATGTCTCTCTTGCTCTCACACCTCCTCCATGTCTCTCCCACTCTTCCTCCATGCCTCTCTTTTTTTAACCCCTCCTCCATGTCTGCCTCGCTCTCACTCTTCATTCATGTCTCTCTTGCGCCTCCTCCGTGTCTCTTTCACATTCACACTTCCTTCATGTCTCTCTCACTTTCCCTCTTCCTCCATGTCTCTCTCACTCTTCCTCTATGTGTCTCTTGCCCTTCCTCTTTCTCCATGTCTCTCTCTCTCACACTTTCTCCATGTCTCTCTCCCTCTCAATCTTCCTCTATGTGTCTCTTACTCTTCCTCCATGTCCCTCTCTCTGACTCTTCCTTCATGTCTTTTTCGCTCTCACGCTTCCTCCGTGTCTCTTTTGCTCTCACACTATCTCCTTGTCTCTTTCACACACACTCATACTTCCTTCATGTCTCTCGTTCTCTCACTTCCTATGTGTCTCTCGCGCTCTCACTCTTCCTCCATGTTTCTCTTGCTTTCACACCTCCTCTGTGTCTCTTTCGCATTCACCCTTTTGTCATGTCTCTTTTGCTCTTACACTTCCTCCGTGTCTCTTTTGCCTTCACACTTCCTTCATGTCTCTCACTCTCCCTCTTCCTCTGTGTCTCTTTCACTCTTACACACTTCATGTCTCTCTCCCTCTCACTCTTCCTCTATGTGTCTCTTGCCCTCCCTCTTTCTCCATGTCTCTCTCTCTCACACTTTCTCCATGTCTCTCTCGCTCTCACTCTTCCTCCATGTCTGTCTTACTCTTCCTCCATGTCCCTCTCTCTGACTCTTCCTTCATGTCTCTTTCGCCTTCACGCTACCTCCGTGTCTCTTTCGCCTTCACGCTTCCTCCGTGTCTCTTTCACTCACACTCATACTTCCTTCATGTCTCTTTCGCTCTCTCACTTCCTACACGTCTCTCGCGCTCTCACACTTCCTCCATGTCTCTCTCCCTCTTACTCTCTTGCTCTCCCTCTTCCTCCATGTCTCTCTCACTCTTCCATGTCCCTCTCCCTCACTCCTTCATGCCTCTTGCGCTCTCACACTTCCATGTCTCTTCCACTCACACTCATACTTCCTCCATGCCTTTCTGTCTCTTTCTCTGCCTCCTCCCCCTTTTTTTCCTCTCTCACTTTCTAGGGGAGCCCCATTGCCGGCGGGACTCCTGTTTCAATCCAAGAGCGGAGATTACACATTGGTGTTCACAATGGCTGGTGCTTTGTGCAGCCGTCTCAGGTTGTGGTGGTAACACCGGAGAACCGAACCATAAAGGGACATACCGTCTCTAGCCTGAGAAAAAAACAGACCAGCAGTCAGACACTAAGGTAAGTCCGATCAGTTAGAGATCTTTGTCTGCTCTAGGAGATATTATCTTAGCAATCCAACATATTATCCATGTCCGATGAAAGCCTGATGTTTTTGAGTTTATTAAAATAAAATGCATGGAAAACATTTGAACTTCTGGAGTGAAATGGTAGAAAGTCACATTTACATACTTTCACATAAAGCATTGTATTGGCTGTATGTCCATTGTAGATTACTGTAGACTGCCAAATCTATTCTATTCTGGCAGAATAACCAATAGTGGACCACAAAAGTGACTGATTGATAGCCCCTGGCTTCTTATATGTCTAGGGACATCTTCCTGCCATAATTCCAACTCGGTTCCTGTCTGTCTCTGTTTTGGGTGTTCCTGCCCAGCTGTGTGGGTGTTCCACATCCTATTGTTATAATTTCTATAACACTAAAGTGAACTTGAATTCAAAATGTGAAGATTTGCTATGTCATCTAGAAATGTTAAGAAATGAAAGATTTGATTTTTGTGTTAAGTTCCTCCTGAAAAATAGCAGCACCCTTCCTGTGCCTGAAGCCTAGTAGCTATATATCTGCAGTATGAGATTGTGTAAGGCACTGCTGGTTCTGACTAATAGTCTCATTGGAACTGGAGTGAGATTTGCTAGTAAATGGATAGCTGCTGCAGATTGTGCTGTCGTTTGTAATCTTGTAAGAGACAGTAAGTTCAGAGAAGCAGAGATGAGAGAGTTGGAGCTGTTTGAAACATGATGGCTGCAAAAAATATAAAAATAAATACTTTGCTGGGTGATGTGTATTTGTTTGATCTGAATTCATTATTGAAAAAAGTTTGAGAGTTTAACAGAACTTTAAATCTCACTGAGATTGATATGAGGTGTAGATTATGGGTTTCCTTGCTCAAAGTTCTGCCCAGGCAGATGCTGTTTGCATGGTACTAGCACCCCTACATGGCCCTGACGAGTATAATAAATTCCTATACTCGTCAGCGCCATCTAGGGGTGCTAGTGCCATGCAAACAGCGTATGCCGGTGTTCTATCAAAGTTTGTGACTGCGTTAGAATGTGTGACCACTGACGTGGTCACACATTTTAACGTAATCACGCCCACTTTTTTGGCGGTGGAATATGTGACCGGCAAAAGGTGTAGAATTCCAACGCTTTCTCCGCTGTTCCAGGGCAGATCGGCATCGCAGATGGTATGTGCAGGAGAACCGATCGGTCCATAAATCTCACTTCTATCCGACTTTGTGAGTGCGATACAACATTTCACAAAGTCGGATAGAAGTGAGATTTCATCTGCGATGCCGATCTGCCCTGGAACAGCTGCGAAAGCGTTGGAATTCTTCACCTTTTGCCAGCCACATATTTTACCGCAGAAAAAATGGGCGTGATTACTTTAAAATTTGTAACCACGTGACCGGTCACACATTCCAACCCAGTCACAATCTTTGATAACACCAGGTGTAAGTATTATGAATGAACTTCCAATTGTGTGGATAATGCTGGATGTTTTTCTTTAGCACAGTGCAGACAAATCTAAAATCACCAGCCAGCTGAACAAACTGTTTTTTTTTCCTCCCACAGTTCTACAGCTCTGGTACTAAGGAGCCGCATACGCCTGCCTGAAATGGTCAATGACCCAAGATTTGCCATCGTCTTCCTGCTGGAGTATGTCTTCTGCGTACCTAGTGGTGTCGGCGGCAAGGTACCATCAAATATATTGCATCCCCCCTTTTATCAGTTCACAGATTTCGCTCCTATGTTTGATGCCTGGTATTGTGTGGCAATCCCGCGGTAGAACTGGGGGTTGTAGTCACCCAGGACTCTTAGCCAGAGGGACTGAGTGGTTCCAGGAAACAAATTCTTTAGCTGGGAAAGAACTGGCTTTGCAGTTCTCTCTGGATTTGGCATGGGATCCTGGAACTGGGAGATTTCAAAGAGAACTGGGAGGGATGAAATCTCCATTCCTGGGTCCGTGGTTTAGTAGGGGCCAGCACCTAATGATTGCACACCTGTGCATAGCCCTTATGGAAAGGGTGCTGACTAAAGCTGCCCATACAACTTACGATTATCGTACAAAACTTTTCATCCGATGATCGAACCGTCGCATGATTGTCGTACGGTGTCCCCATCCTTCTCCCGAATATCGCAAGGTTCAATCAGCGGTAGTTAAAAAAAACACCTGGGCGAATTGCGGTAATCGACCGCACATATTTTCGTTTGCGCACGAGGAGTTTTAATCGTACGACTTTTGACGTACGGAAACTCCACCAACCTTGCGACAATCGTACGATTGACTGACGTTTCCGAACATGCAGGAAAGACAAAAGTCGTACGATTGTACAGTACCGGCGGTTGCACACTCCCCATACACCTTCCGATTGTCGTACGATAAGTTGATCGCATACGATAATCGTAAGGTGTATGGGCACCTTAATGCTCTGGGCTCCAGCTGGGAAGAGGAACAGAGGTGTTTGGAGTCAGGAGGACTCCACCCAGAAGTCAGAGGGGAGCCAGGTGTGGTGTGTGGGACAACTGGAGAATTGGTGAGACAATATATGTTGTTATGCTGAAGACAAGCTATTTTATGTTGGACTTACTTGGTTGTCTGCCTTTGTAAAAATAACAAAGACTTTTGTTTGATGGAAAAACTATATGCAAGTGTTCTGTGAGCTCCCCAACATTACAGATGAATAAAACATAATGTGTTCGATAGATTAGCAGAAATTGTTGAAAGCCTGAAAATAAATGGGGGTTATGATATATTGCCATCATAGATGCAAGCATTGCTTAGAGTTCTTCTTTAGGTTCCCTTTCTGATGGCATGAAGAGTGCGTGTGCGTGAATTATCGCCGCATGCAGAGTTCCAGTTTCTGCCGCCTCCCATCTGTTGGCGGAGATAAGGTGGGCACTTCATATCAGTGGGGGTTCTGATTTGTTTGATGGCATTTTCTGCACTTTACACACAAGTAGTTTTCAATCACCCCACTCCTATTATTCCCCCTCAGTATCTGCAAGAATGCAAGGCGTTGATTATATTCCGCTCTTTTCTTCCCGGCTCCGGTACGATTTCTCAGTCTGGCTTTCAATAAATGTTGCCGCTCCTCAAAATTTTGAAGCACGTTATTTAACGAAAAGGCAAGAAAAATACTCTTCTGTTTGTGCTTTCTGTGTGTGTGTGTGTGTGTTTTTTACAATACATTTTTTTTAAGGGAAATAAAATTGCTTTTGCTTTTTACAGTGTTGTTCATTGTGACATTTTAAATCTGAAAGGATCGTGGTGCTGTCAATAAACTCGAGGGCTCTGAAACAGTTAAAATGGAGCTTTTAGTGAGAAATTTATAACAGCAGCTTGCAAACCATAAACTTCTACTCTATAAATGTATTGATAATGATAGAGAATACAAGTGGGGCATATAGGTGTAGCAGCTAGAGCAGGGGTGGGCAACTCCGGCCTTTCAGCTGTTGTGGAACTACACATACCATAAGGCATTGTAAGACTGACAGTTACACGCATGTCTACAGAGGTTATGTCGGGATTTGTAGTTAAAGCACAGCTGGAAAGAGGGAGTTACCCACCCCTGAGCCCTATGATCCTTCACGGCCACTCGAAGATCTTCAGATGGAAGCGAGCGGAGGAGACGGAGGTAAGTTTGTACCTATTTGGTATTTTATTATTTTTTATGTTTTTGCATATATCTACTGCTTGCTAGCAGTAGATATATGCAAAAACCCCCGAAGGTTTAATTGTACTTTAAGCAACGAAAAGACTGAATACCTCCTCCATGTCATTACTCTCTCCGGCAGTGACATGGAGTCCAGCATGCACCATATGGGCAGCACAGTGGCGTAGTGTTTAGCACTTCTGCCTTGCAACCGGGTCCCCGGTTCCAATCCCGGCCAGGTCACTATATCTGCAAGGAGTTTGCATGTTCTCCCTGTGCTTGTGTGGGCTTCCTCCGGGTACTCCGGTTTCCTCCCACACTCCAAAGACATGCTGGTAGGTTAATTGGCTCCTCTCTAAGTTGGCCCTCTATGTATGTATGTGAGATAGCGACCTTAGATTGTATGCTCCTTGAGGGTAGGGACTGATGTGAATGTGCAACTATGTAAAGTGCTGTGTAAATTGTTGGCGCTATATAAATACCCGTAATAAATACATTAATTAATTAAGAGCCACTTGGGATCATTGCAATGGACACTCCAGAAGTTTTTGTTTCCCAGACGACTTTGGGGGGACCATTTCACAGCATTGCCATTTAGCAGTGGAGGCAGCAGGAGAGGTCAGTATTTTGTTTCGTCTTTTCCTGGTTGTATTATGTGATAGGGACTCATTAAGTGACATCAGTCTCTCCTCTTTGGCCTAGATTATTCTAGTATTCTAGTATTCTACAATTCTGTAAAAAGCTCTTTGATGTAGAACAATATAACACGCCGTCATGTGCGATCTCAGCTTGTGGGGGAATCGTGCAACGTGACAGCGGATGCTGATGATCACTTATCAGACACGTTTTAGCATGTTGTTTGTATCCCCGCTCTCTCGTTTCCTTGCAAATACCAGATGAACAAATATTACGTGATAAGCGGATGTCTTCTGTGTGAGCTGCATTTCATCAGTGTTCTGCTTAAAGCTGAACTCGAGGCAGATATAAAAGACACAATTGAATGCAGCTGCTGTTATCATTAATACATCATTAAATATATTTTTCAAACAGCTAAGTAGCTGAATTTGACCTGGTGTCAGTCTCTTGCAGTCCCTGAACACCAGGGCTGGAGTGTGAGGGAAGAAGAAGCACAAAGAGTCAATCAGTTCATATGCTGACCAAAAGCATGCTAATAGGAGGAGAGAGCAGAGGGACATAGAGATTATATGAGTATAATGTGACTATTATGTTACAAGAGTTCATAATAAAATCAGTGTGGATATTTAGAAGAGAACGCTGCATATTTGTTTATATCCTTGTGGTAGCTTCTTTGATGAAATAAAGTTATTCAATGGTTCAGTCATAGGTGTGGAACTCCTCTTCTAAATCGCTTGGGTTTTGTCAAAGCACCTCCCAGAGGGCTCTTTATGAATGAGTGCTGCCTAACTTGATTACTTGCACTCTATACTGCAAAAGACTTTGGATCCAGCGTCTCTAACCCATTGCTTCTCAACCTTTTTATTGGCATCTATGCCGTTATTGGGAACACACTTGTATTTCTGGGGCATACATCTCAACCAGTGCGTGGTGTATGAATGAAACCTCCTTCGGCAAACCTCAACTAGTGCCTGGTTCAAGGATGAAACTTCCTTTGGCAAACCTCAAACATACCTGATGTAAGAATTAAACCAAACCTCAACCAGTGCCTCATTCAAGGATTAAACCTCCTTCTGCAAACCTGCCTGCCTGTTTTGTTTATAGTGACCCCCCCCCCCCCCCATGTCTTCTTCTGGTGTCACGGGAGGCAAAATCTACCTATTGAGGTCACACAAAGAAATTAAACTCTTATAGATCCACCAATTTATCCAAAACTAGAAAACAAAATGGCCAAAGTAAAGCTGGCATGATATATGGCACTAATTTTGTCAGATTCCTGTGAATTGACTGGAAATTGAGCCATGGGTGGCCCTGCAAACACCCCCGGAGAAAAAAGTCTCACCCCGGGAGAAAAAAGTCTGCCAAACGGTGACAGCAGCCATATAGCTGCTGTCACTCTCCGGGTATTCTAAAAGCTGCGGGTGAGATTGTCGGCTGTCAGAATACAGGAGCCAGCAGGGGTGATTCATACATCAATGTCGTTTGATGTGGATAGGGAAATCTAATCACATGTTTATATGCATGTCCATCTTAAGGCTTTAAAATGAATAATGTTATCTTTAGTTAGAGTTCTTTTGTCTTTATAACCAGGATCACTAAAGAGTTAAATGGCATTCTGCCACTGTCACCATCATTGCACATTCTGTCCTCACCACATTGACACGTGGTTGCCTGTGGTGCTATTGTCACTTACCTTCTTCCTGGCTGATATGTCATTGTCTTTGTCTCTTTGAATTGAGATTCTTGTATGTCCCCTAGGCTGGGTATCATTGCAATGTCCCTCCTTTCTGTGTCTCTACCCTATACCAGAGCCTTGCCCCTTTCTCTGTATAGGATGCCTTGCTTGGCATTATTAACTTTCTCTGCTGCTCCTTCCACCCTGGAAGTCAGGTTTGTACTGACTGCTGATCCAGCTGTAGAGGCGGCAGATACATTGATTCTGGCAGAGGCTGCAGACGGCATGATCCTGAGAGATGAGAAACCACTGACAGAGCGGCACCCAGCAACTAAGGACTCGTCTTCTTTGATTTCATAAGTGAGATAAACCCATAGGAACCAGGATATGTCTGTGCATCAGTTCATAATGTTAGATGTGTGCGGGGAGCCTTTGATTGATGTGCAGCAGAGGGAATGTGCTGGGAGACCATGTGGCCAATACAGTCTGGAAAGGACTTTCAGGATGAGGGATTGTATTAACTAATTGCTCACACAGAGAACTACATGCTCGGTGTAAAACTTTTTAAGCTGATGCTTCTACTATGCTTGTTTTTCCTCTTGGATTTAAAGTGATCCTATGGCAGCCTTGAACATTCAAGTATTTTAATATGCATAACAAGCAGAACATGAGCTTTACAACAAGCCATCACTGACTGCTGTAGCTGCAGGCAATTCATCCTTAAAATTC